AGGACAACTTATTTTCTAGGTTGATCTATATTCTTGAGCATTTGCAGAACTTGTGCTAAAAATAGTTATTGAGGGAGAAATAAATTATTAGTGAATAATCAACCTCAATGTGCCTTCTATGTTCCACAAGGAGAGTGAGGGTTAAAGATTTAGGCTTCCACTCTGCTTATGTATAAAGTATATTCAGCACTGCAACATGCAGAAGGACAGCCTTTCACAGGATAGAAGGGAATGAAAAAATAAACTTCCTTGCCAAAAAGGAAGTAATGTTAGCAGAGATCTTAGCTAGTAATTTAATGAGATGTTTTGTCCCCTGTGCATAAAGCTTCTTCATGTGATTATTTCCTGTTATTGCCTTCCTCCAGATGAATTTAATGTCAAGATTATAACTTTAAATGACTAGAAGGTACACCTAACATCCACACCAGTTCACTCTGGAAGCAGTATACATAGGAAATTGGAAAATTTTGACACACATATCTGCTTCCAAAACAAACAGAAGAGATAATCCATGGACACTGGAGCTTACAGAAGAGTTGGTAAACAAATTTATTTCAAAACTTGAAAGGGTGGCAGCTTGATGGAAGATTAGCACAGAGTTCACGTCCACCTTAGTGACAGACATGGCTTTGCTTACTTCCTTGCCTGCATTAATCCATTTAAATACCCTGTCATTACAAGATTATTTGGCAATAGAGGAACCTTGGACCTGCCAAGAAAGTAAACACTGCTCAAACATGCACATTGCCTGCATATTAACAGGCCAGAATTTCTGGGCATCACACAGGGCACAATAAATTATTATAACACACTTTTGTCTTTTCGTGCTTTCATCTCAAAAGATGTGATGCTACCTGTCTGGCTAGCATCTCATGTTAATAGACTGAGAAGCAAGCTATTGGTACTGGGCTCAGAATTTAGCCACCCAGGCAGACGTGACCCAAGTTTTATCGCACAGTCCCTATCACATAGGGACCACATTCCCAGCTGACCCTGAGGAGTCTTTCTAACAGGTTTTCAAGGACCTGTGGTCAGACTCACATTGACTTTGATGGTTTTTTGATGGCTTTGATGCTCCAGAATAATGCTGTTCCTTGCCATCAGCACAGGTTAAAATACAAGGAGTGAACTGGCTGCCAGCAGCCCACATACAAAACTACAGCTCTTATTCTGCATTTCAGTAGAGTGGGGAGCCCTAGGGCCTCTAAGTATCGGTTTTGTGCATGGAGATATGTGAATTGTACACCCAGAATCATGTCATACATACAATGGAATTTAGTTCCCGGTATATGCATTCATTATGGGGATCTTTGCTATTTCTAAGATTTTAGCCATTATTATTCCTGAAGAACTAAAAAAGCAATAATATTGTGAACACTAAAAGATTAAAGCTGGAATGACCATTAAAGAAGTCAAAGTATGTTACAGTTGTGCAACTGCTTAGACATCCTGTGATTTTTGAGTGCAAAGAGTCAACACTACAGGGCTGGTAAAACTGTTTTGCTTACGAAGTGGAATACTGCCCTTCAGCAAGGAGAATGACAAGTTCTTGAAAAGGTGGATTGCTTTGTTCATTAGTATCAGTGAGGCCCTGCATGCCAAACTGTCTCCATGTTTGAAGGGTTAAGGACTTTGTGCAAGTGGTTCTTGGCAGACACAAACTAACTGCTGAAAACAATCCCATCCGTAAAACTGGCTAGCATCGAGTTTCCTCTCCTTTACCATGTGCTAGCTGGTGGAATATGAATTGTGAGAATTAAGAATAGAAAAGATCTATTAGCTTCTCTATCCTTCTACTGCCAGGCCACGCTTATTCCCTGACATATATTCAGCAGTGCTTTCAGTTTTATAAAAAAAAAATATATAAAAGTTGCATACAGACTTCCACCAGTTCTTTGCCAATGCACAAGCCTAATGGCTCCCAAATTAGAAAACTTTTCTTAACATGTAGCTTCTTCCTGATTTCATGGCATTACCTCCTTCACATGCCCTTGGCAACTTCTTTAGATGTTGAACCTTCTTTCCACTTGTTTCCACTTCTGCCACTTCACCCCTGTCAGATGCTACATCAAAAGAACAGATTCACAGCAGTGACAGTTTTTAGCTTTCTCAAGCTTAATTCTCAAATTTTCAAAGCAGCTCTACACAGAACAGCATGGCTGCTGGTGTAGATGGTAAGCAGCTGTTAAAAAAGGCAGAATTACACAAAGGTATGGTAAGAGACTTCAGCTAGTAGAGGCATGACTGAACCTTTACTGAGGAACAACAGGCTTTCCTGTATGTTTCTACATCTCAAGCAGTCTGTTTACAAAACTAGAATCTACAAAGAAAATACTGCAAGGCAAAATCTGAAGTTTCCTCTTGCTGTTTAGATCTTCCTGTAATGGAAACTGAAAGACATCTCAGTTTTTCCATTTTTAAGAACGCCTTCTGCATGGAATGCCTTCTGCATTCTTAAAATGCCACGTTTATTCACATGTAATTGTATGTGCTAGTTAGAAGCAGCCTTTCTATATAATGTATCTTTCCTGAAGCAGCCTTTCTATATAATGTATTTTCTATCTATTCGTCAGACTGAGGTTGCAATAGATATCCCACTTCACAACAAGCCCCCCACTTCACAACAAGCCCCCCACTTCACAACAAGCCAAGTGCTCAGTATGCCAAAAGCCCAGTTTAAAAGACCAGCGTCTAGAGAGCATACTTGTATTCATTATCTTCCCCCTGCAGCTCCTTTCCTAATACTACAAAGGTGGTAATGCTACAGAAATGAGAAGTATTTGCGTGAGTTATCATTCACAGGTGATTCAGCATTTGATTTAAGAGAGATCTTCAGCTGCATCCATCCTCTTTGATTATGGAAAATGTTGCCCTAGCTGGCATACCAGAAGGTGAGAAAATCTTACTTCACTGCTAATTATCTCCTAAATTACTTGGTGACCTTGGAGAAAGGCTCAGAATGGTGGTTTAGAATGTTCTGACAGTGTCAGATCACAGCACACCCACTAGTGCCAGGCAGCCAGTTGAGCGTGAGTAATACACCTCATTTTGCTGACTGCAAGGCTGGAAATCAATGGGGAGCATGCAAAGCTTATTTTAATGGGTTAACAGAACACAAAACATGGTTACAGAATCAGAAAAGTACAAGATAGGAAAGCCATTTTAGTTCATCTAGTCTTGTGCAAGCTTGCTCCCTAAAACATATTTTCTAGATTGTGGCTGTCTCAAATCAGTTTCTTCCACTTTCTTTGAAGTGTTATATCCAATCTAATATGACCACCAAAGCTCTGTCAATACTGCAGTCATCACTAGTAATAAGCCATGCCAGGAATTAAGTTTTATGAAAGATTTTCACTTGTTATCCCTCTGTAGGGCCAGCAACACAAAATTTCAGAATTCTCCAGGGAGGAAATTTCAGGACCTGAGGAGGAAAGGGAAGTGCTGGAAAAGACAGAACATCTTAAAATTATCCTTTATTAATGTCATTTTTTCAACCACTATGTTGCATTATATATACATTGTAAGGTATGCTGTACACATACTTAATACTTGAAATGAAAAGTTATTTATTAAACACTGTAGATTTGCAGCCTAAATATTGATTGGGAAATCTTCATATGGTTCAAACATTTTCCTGTTTACTTTTTTGAGAGTAGATCCAGCAGCAGAAGAGGCCTGACTTCTTCAGAATTTGTATATTTACACACTTCTACTGTCCATTTTCTAACAGAAAGCTTCTCAGAAATTTACCTTGTACATTTTATTTTTGTTTTGCAAGTCCAGATATATGGTAAAAACATTCCTATTTTGTCAATTTCATGTATACCAAAGTACATACAGTGTACACCCTTGAGTGAACTCCAACACGTTCTTAATGTAAGTATAAATATTTTCCAATTCATCATATGCATAAACCTGTTACACACAACTCCTTAAAATAAATTTTATTTGAGAGAGAAAAACACGTGTTCTAGTTTAAAAGCAGGGAAAAGTGTGGGAGGGAGTTTTCTAATCAGTTCTGAATGGAGGAAAGAGGGGTGCTCTGCTGTCATTTAAAAGATACTTGTGCAAAACTGCCTGTAATTTTATAGTTCCACAAAGACTTATCATAGTTACAAGTATTAAGCAACTCCCAGGTTTTGATAACCATTCCCCCAGAGACTGTGACAACTCCTAGGGTTCACAGAAGAACTTCAATGTCAGCCATAAGAAGAGTTCAGCTTCAGTAGATTGCTGATGTGGTAGGTTAGGCTCCACCTTCAATTGTTTATACTTACGATATTATCTTTAAAATTGTCTGAGGAAATCACTCAGCGAACAGAAAGAGGCCCCAGTAGCCTTAAAGGAAAACTGCCCAGAGTTTTGATTTCGCAGGTTGTCAGTTCAAGGAAGGACACTAAAGGGCCCTGAACTTTGAAAACGTGTTCAGGTTTAAATAAATGGTCAAGTATTTTTTTGCATTAGCACTAACGTTGAATACTAACCAGATACTGCAAGTTTCTAATCACTATATTTCTCTCCACTCCTCCAATGTAGCCAGTCATGATTGCAAGATCCTAATTGTTACACCTTCTCCCTTTTACCCAGGCAGACACATGGGGAAGATAGGTGGTGCCTTTACGTTTTGCAAAATCAAATAACAAGACATTAGCGTACAACATAGCTTACGGAAAGCTTTGTGTAAAGACACTGTAGAACAAGGCTTTAAAGCTTGGGCTGCTAAACTGCACCAATACAATCTGCATGCACACCCTGTGCACATGTAAAATAGATTATTCCATATTGTGTTATTTTTATTCATTTGCATTTTGGTAATGATGACAGTGTTCTTGGCATGCTCTTACCACACACGGAGAAAAGACAGCTTGAACACACACACATGCACACACACGTGTCTTCTTTCATGCAGTTTGGGAGAAGACTGAAACTGTGGCCTTACATAATGTATAGTGAGTAAGTAAGGAACAGCTGAGTAAGATAAAAATGCTATCTCACAACAGTCAAACTCAGCAAATGTAGCTTCTCTTTATTAAATTTTGCTTTTCATTACAGAGAAAGCTGGGCACTGAAATGAAGACAAGAAAATTGTGAACAGAAGATAGGAGCTTGCTCCCAGTTGTTACTCTTCTCTCACCATTGGCTCTACCAGTGTCCAGAGTGGCAGCCTGGTTTTATTTTCATGCACTCAAGTCATTGTTTTTCTCACAGAGCTGCTGAGGAAAAATAATTGTGGCATTTGTGTAGCAATATTGAAGCAGTGAGATAAATGCATTTTCCAGCCAACTTCTGGCAGGCTTTCTGAATTAGTATTAAGGGATTTGAAGTCTCCTCGCCCAGCAGCATCTCTTGAGTGCTGCTGTCCTGGGTTCAGCAGTAGCAGTCATGTTTTTCCTTTGTGTTAGCTGGTGCAGTGCTGTGTTTTGACTTCCAGCCTGGGAACAATGTTGGTGAAACCGATGTTTTCGGTTGTTGCTAAGTGATGTTTACCCTGACCAAGGACTTTGTGAGGCTCATGCTCTGCCAGGGAGGAGGGGAAGCTGTGAGGAAGCAGAGATGGGGCGCCTGACCCGGGCTAGCCAAGGAGGTATTCCATACCACAGCACGTCATGCCCGGGGTGGGGGGTAACTGGGAGTTACCCGGAAGGACACGGGCTTCCGGGTGGGACTCGTTTCTTGGCCGGTGGTATCGTATTCTCTTCCCTTGTTATTTTCCCTTATCATTGTTGTCGTTGGTGGTAGTGGTGGTGATTTGTGTTGTACAGTGGTTGCTGGACTGTTCTTGTCTCAACCCGTGGGAGTTGCACCCTTTCGATCCTCCTCCCCGTTCCTCCGGGAGCGGGGAAGGGGAGAGCCCCGGTGGGGGGGGGCGGGACACAGACCTCGATTGTTGTCAGCTCAGCACCACTCACTGGGAGTGAGTGAACAAGTTACCTGACTGGGTTTAAACCACGACAGCTGCGATGCTGTTCAGTGGACCTGGCAGCTCAGCCTCTATTCTCTGACCCAGTCATAATTCTGGTCTATGGCATTTTATGGCAATACACAAATCTTACCATTCTGTAGATAGGCCATAACTCGCAACAGAAAAGGGAAGACAACAAAACTCCATTTAGTGCAACCAGTCTGGGATTGGTAGCTAATTTTAGGTTTGGTTTTGTTTTTTTTTGTTCCAGATATTCTGGTAACAGAGTCCTGTTGCTAGACTTCATCGCCAGCTTAAAGCTGGGGCCTTGGTACAAAAATGCAGGAGTACTCCCAGACTGCTGAATTTTGTTTGCTGAAAAGAATCTAAATTCTAGCATCATGGCCAGCATCTAGGTTTGGGATCACATCAAACAAGTCAACACCTCTCTAAAAAGCAGTCTAGGGCAGTTGGAATGAATAAATACAGCTCACTTGTGCAAGTCCATTTATTTCAGTGACATCAACCCAAGCCAACCCAATACAGAGAAGATTTAGAGCTTGTCTGCTTTCTTCAGGTTACATCAAGGTGATGTACTTCATTTTGAGCATACCATCTGAGCAGGCACAGCATCCCAACAGATTTCATTTTACAGTGAGCTAATGCTTTCAGAAAATGAAGATTTCCTCTGATGGATTCACTTGCTTATAACAGTGCTGATCTCCATTCAAGGCAGCATTTTTCTAGCAATTGGATGTCAGCCATGAAGCAACTAAAAACTGCAGCACCCCATCTCATGATCACACAAGAAAAATCCTGGGAAGTTCTACTATCTCATCATCTGACTCTTCAAAAGAGCCAGAGTCAGTGAACAGCCACAGCCACTGTAAAGGTGACTCACACTTCAGTCTGACAGGCAGACACACTACACACATGGCACGTGTACATTTGACATGACACTGATTTGATGTGACACGTGATCACTGATCACTTGGCCACAAGCCAAGTACTGTGCTAGTCAACAGCTGTGACAGTAGTTTCAGTGGCCATGATCACAGGTTCCTCTGTCTCACCTGCAGCTGCCTAGGAAAGAGAATAAGCATGAGGCTTAGGAAAGGGAAAGAAGCCTGCATAGCTGCTTCAGTGAGAAGAATAACCACAGAATAGCTTCATTTAGCACACTGTTATTCTAGAAGCAATAAAGAGGCATTGTTAGGGCATCAGAGGACGTCTGTGCACTTCACATAAGTAACATACACACAGGTGACCTCCTGCAAGCACCTAGGGCATCTTGAAGTTGGTGTTGCTCTGCTGTGGCCTTCAGGTGCTAACCAATACAGTGCTGGAAGCCCAAGAAGCAGAGCTGCTGTGAAGAAGGTGGGTACACCCGTTGAATTACAGATATTGCCACTGTATTGCCCTCAGCAGTCCTTGATTGTTACTACCTGTTTGGATGTACAGACATTACTGTATGTTTTCCTGTCTTGAGTCTTTCTGCTTTCTTCCAGATAGCACAGCTGATGAAGATGTGCTTATACGAGGAACTCTCTAGCAGTCACCAAAGCAGCTGCAAGGTAACAGCAGAGCATGCTTTTTATAACAATGATCCCTAGTGTTCAATATCGACCTCAGACCCCAGTTCTTATGTGTTGACTGCAATATTGTCTGGAGCTGTATAGGACACATTGCAGAGAGAAAAAGACACTGATTTTCCAGGCAGTCTGAGTGAACTAGGAGACGCCACCTCCTATGGGAAAATTGCTAGCGATATGGTATCAGGGATGTCTCACATAGATCCTCACACATTTATTTGGCAAAGAGGCTTTTTGACTAACATACTGGGTCATTTGTCCTGGCCCATGTGGTGTGACACCACTAGCCAAGGCCCATGGTTTCCTGGGCCCATGCTTTTGCTGCACCTGCAGTGTGCCTTATTGAGGGTACAGCGGTATGAGAGTGTCCTGGGTTCAGCAGTAACAGTCATGTTTCTCCTTTGTGGTAGCTGGTGCAGTGCTGTGTTTTGACTTCCAGCCTGGGAACAATGTTGGTGAAACCGATGTTTTCGGTTGTTGCTAAGTGATGTTTACCCTGACCAAGGACTTTGTGAGGCTCATGCTCTGCCAGGGGGGAGGGGAAGCCAGGAGGAAGCAGAGACGGGGCGCCTGACCCAGGCTAGCCAAAGAGGTATTCCATACCACAGCACGTCATGGCCGGGGTGGGGGGTAACTGGGAGTTACCCGGAAGGACACGGGCTTCCGGGTGGGACTCGTTTCTTGGCCGGTGGTATCGTATTCTCTTCCCTTGTTATTTTCCCTTATCATCGTTGTCGGTGGTGGTAGTGGTGGTGATTTGTGTTGTACATTGGTTGCTGGACTGTTCTTGTCTCAACCCGTAGGAGTTGCACTCTTTCGATCCTCCTCCCCGTTCCTCCCCCTGTTCATCCTAGCTCAATACCATTCTTCTCCTCTGCCTGCACTCAGTAATTTGCTCCTTTCTCCACAGCCAGCAGGGAAGGGGAGAGCCCTTGGGGGGTGGGGCTCGATTCCTTCCAGCCTGGCACCACTCACTGGGAGTGAGTGAACAAGGTGCCTGGCTAGGGTTTAAACCACGACAGCCACTGTTTCCACTACAGTAGGAATCACTAGCTGAAGGGTTATGACACTTCAAGATACATTCCTTGCAGGAAGCAAAGTCATTCATGCCTGTCCAAATGGAAATGTTCACCCAATTCCCTGACCAGCAGCACCAGCCTGTGTACTGACCCTTTGCAGAGCAGCAGGAAATATCTTGCCAGCCCCTAAGCTTGCCAGGTCTATGAAGTGTCCAGGCCTATGAAAACTGCCTGCAGACAACTCTGATCTGATATTTCATTTGAAGCAGGACACCTCACAGCTTTGGTTCACTGATTCACCACACTGGTTCACTTTGGTTCACTGATTCACCACACTGGTTCACTTTGGTTTTCTCTGCTCTCATTGCCTCTACTATCTCACTTTCATGATACAGAGAGGGAGGTTTATTAAGTGGAACAGTGTCAATGTACAAGATAAATATGTCTAATTGCAGCAAATGCAAATGCAAACCTAATTCATATTTAGCAACTGGCTATTTCTTCACTGCTTCAGTACTCTTTGTCTATAATTTATCAGCCAGGCCTAGATGTGGCAGTGCAGAGCAGGGCTAGTGTGTGCCATTACGAGATTGTGGGGGTCTGGATCCTTCGCAGGAGCCTGGGTGAACACGCAGCCACATAGCAATGCTGTATCAGGATGCAATACAGTCCCCACAGCATCCCCTGTATCCTGGTTTCCATACAAGGGAAACCCAAGCACAGAGGCCAGAATGAAATCACGCTATGCAAGAGCTCCACTGAGTGAGGTGATCATAGGATCAGGACCTGAGAGATAGACCCCGGAGGACACTTGTTCTGTTCTGCAGAGTAAACATAACCTCCATTACACTGCCTCCTGTGTAGTGTCCACAGCTGAGAATGGCACCCCTTACACCCAGACTGTCTGCTTTGTAGCCTCTGCATCTAAGTGGGACATCTGATACACTTACCACTGAGCTTGTATGCTCTCGAGCAGTATCAGCTGCCTAAAGTTATCACATGTAATGTATTATTAATACAGATGAAATAAACCTGTTGCTTTGCTTGACAACACCTCTTCTTTTTCCCAGCTATTATTGGAGTTTCTGAGGCACATATTCTTATGAGCAGCTGTTCCTCACGCACAGGGTTTTCAGAGTCTGCTGCTGGTGGGATTTCAGGTCAATGTAAATGCAGTCAGACACTAGAGGAACAAGAAAGCATGCTTTGTTAGTTCATTTACCCAATAAGATGTGCTTCTGCAATGCCTTTCCAGTTCCCTGATTATAGTAATTTTCCTCTTTCAGCAATTCTTTGGTTTTGCCTCCTTATCCTGCTGCCTTTTTGACTATATCTAAGCCTTCCAAACCCAAACTTCTCTCCTTCATTCTGTCATTCTCACGTAGGTGACCAAACATCAGTTTGCAGATGTTGTGCAGTGTTTAGCAGCAGTGTTCTGGGAAACCTCTGAAACGCTTTGAATGTAAATTTTCTGCTGCTCATCATTCAGATTTTATGATAGCAAAGCCAAACACAAAAAACACCAGTATAGCAACTGGCACTTATGTTAAACTAGGGGAATATACTGCCTATATGCAGATTTTTTTGAAATCAATGAAGCTTGAGTTACTACTGCGAAAATTCAACATGCACAAAAGTCCCTATGTACAATCAATACTGACCAAAAAAATTAATTTTCTTTCCTGTGCTGTCCATGCTGCTAGAACGTGGTTATACAACACTGAAATCAACTGAAAGTATTTATCAAGAGTTAAAGGAAGACCAAATTATATTACAAACTTTTTCTTTTGAACTAGAAGAGGAAGCCAAATGTAAATGCAGACCTAAATATATACTTTAAATTAATCATGACTTTGCACATAAATCGCACTATTTACACATACTGTCATAGTAACTATCCAGCCTACAGCAGCACCACCTACAAATTTTTAACCAATACACATCAAATACACATTGCTTATGTCATTGTTAAGGTCCCAGGCCTACAGCAAACCCTGAAAGCTCCACTCCTCCAGAATAAAATTAGCTACAGATGTCTCTCAAGTCGTTTTTGCTCAGTGAATGCCATATATTGTGAAGAAAAAATACAGTGTATTGGATAACATCATAAAACATCTGTATTGTTTCACTGACAAAGAACCTTTTCAGATGATGATGAAAAGCTTTAATGGTTAATGCTCAGAAGAGGAACCAACAGATACGTGGAAGAAAAGGGTAGGTAGTTGAGCCAACCTCCAGCACCCCACTGCAGATAACTCCAAGTCATCTTGTATACCGGGTGCAAGTCTCCAAGCTATGCATTTTTGCTAAGCATTCATCTACATGGAGAAATCTGAAGGTCAAACAATGCTGGTATTATTAACTCAGTAGAGCTATATCAGTATAAATCCTTACATGAACACTCTCCTTCCTGACTAAGACTGCTCACACGGGAATTTATTCCAGCATAACTATAGCAGTATAATTACATCAGTACAGTTCTACTGGTAAAAATTCCCATCTAGAAAGTGCTGTCAAAATTACTAGAAGAAACAATACCAATTCACCTTAATTTGTTCAGCCACATTTCTTCGCTGCTATTTTTGTACATAGAAAAAGGAAAATAAATTCATTCTCTATGTCCTGCAGA